CCTCAAGGAGCAGCCTGTGCCGTCCCAAACGTCTAGAGAGCCCGGCGGGGCCGAGGTGTCGTGGACAGCCTGTGACTAGCTGCCCCTCGCTGGTTCTGAGTCCGTCTTATTAACTAGGTTCCGTCATACATCAACATGCACTACTGAGCATCTCTCGAGAGCTGGCGCCGGAATGCAGCCACTGGCGGGCGGACGAACGAGAGTAATGAGCCAGCTCTGGGGAGGAGGGCAGGGGAGACGGAGGCGGGAGCGAATACTGGAAGATCTGGGCCCGTTTTGAGAGACCTGGACACGTGGAGCCGAAAGAACGAAGAGACGCCTCCTCGGTCACTCCCGCTACACCGCGGGGCCCAGGCTTTGACGGAGAGGCAGGGCAAAAGTCTAGGTAGCGGCGAACTTCGCAGTGCCCGCCGCGAGGGTGGGCTCACCGCGCCCAAGGAGGCAGAAGGGAGGGACGTCAGGGTCCAGAGGGGAGAGGAGCCCGCCGCGCGTGGCGCACGCCTGCGACGCTCGGGGTAGGCGGAAAGCGCGTGTGACTCGGCGGCTCGGGGCTGGCGGACCTGGCCGCCGAGGTCAGGATCGCAGAGAAGCGTCCCCGGAAGCTGCCCACTGGAGGCAGAAGAGGCCATGGCCGCAGTGGTGCTGCGATCTTCTGCGCGGGCTCTGCGTCTGTCAAGTGGGTGAGTGCGGACACGGGCCAGGTCACGGAGCGCCCAGGACAGGCTGATTTCGGCCCTGGCTTTTCTGCGCTCCTTCCCTGCTGTCCCTTCTCACGGACGTCAGTTTGATCATGGCTGTCACGGAACAGAATCCTAGGACCCTGTCGTGTAAGGGCCTTGATCTAAGTGGTGTGTGTTTGAATAGAGTTTTGAAAAATCTCTACGTTGACCTTGCTGTCATGTCTGGTACTGACAAATACCCCTACATTTGGTGGGCAGAGTTTGTGCTTTTTTTCCCCCCCGCTGTGAAGTGGGGAGAATCAAATACTGATATATATCCTTGCCTCTTTCAGGCTTCCTGGAACTTGGTGGACACAAATCAGAGATACTCACCAGCGAGCTTCATTGTTGGCCTTCTGGGAACTCATTCCCATGAGGTAAAACTCAAGGCTGTGACCTCTTAGGGGTGTGAACACAACGGAATGTTGTGACCTCTCTTGGGGGGCGGCACAGCAGTTGTGCATGTAACTAGGACAAAACAAAACTGCTTGACATTTGGTTTGGAAAATCCACAGCCTACAAAACTTTTATTAGTTAAATTTAAGCAAATGCTTTTCTGTCTTTTCAATATTTTCTCAATTAGCTTGAAGGGAATCTACGTGTCTTAAAGGGCATGGCTTCTGTTTCTCTATGAGCCTTCCTTTTCTGTTCCTCTTCTGAGGAGAGGGTCTCTCCAGGACTAACAATTTCCACCTGGGACTCTTTTAAGGGACTTTGACTCAATTTTAATGCTAAAGGATTTGGTTATCTTGATAGTAAGTTATAACTGAGAGATGTGTTCCTAAGAGTAAGCCAGGTTTTTGCCAAAGCTCTTACATGGAGAACTTAGGAAATCCTGACAATATGGACATGCCTATCACTTTTACCATATTGTCTTTTTCAGTCTTAAAGCATTTTAAAGATCCATTTAATCCATTTAATGGATTTTAAAGATCCATTTAAAATGTGACTCAAGGGCCCGGGGTGTAGCTCATTGGCACTGTGCCTGCCTCACAAGTGCAAGGTCCTAAGTTTGATCCCCAGTACAACAACAACAACAAAAAATTGTGACTCGTGCTTCTAATCTATCATTTTGGCTTTTTCATTTTTCAGTACAGTCCCAATGCACACCTGAATCCCAGCACTAATGAGTATGTTCCCTTACTTTATTCCTGACATCCTGCTATGAGAGTTGATGGTACTCACACAGTTCTCAAAGGGACAGTAGGGTGGAACCTGCCTCCCTGTGCACTGTGTGTAAGGCGTCAACTCTTTCACCCAGTGGAGAGCTCAGTGCAAGTATGGGGCACTGCACTTAGCATCATGGCTCTCATGAGATTGAAAATGAAAACATTTGTTTGTTTTTTACCCATCAGAGCAGAACCTCTACGCAAGAAGAAGAGGATAGATCCTAAAAAAGATCAAGCAGCAAGGGACCGCATTAAAAAGAGGATACGAAAACTGGAAAAGGCTACCCAAGAGCTAATTCCTATCGAAGATTTTATTACCCCTTTGAAGTACTTGGATAAGTCAAGGTAAAGAGTCCCCTCTGGGCTTGAAGTCCATAGGGCAAATACGCAATTTCGTGGGGTAGTTCTAGCTGAAGTTCATGCCTGTGATGGAAATAGGTTAGTAGACTGGAGTTGACTCGATTCTGGTCTGAGTTCTTTTCTGCTTTATTGTGCCTTTTGAGAGTTAGAAAACGTTCTCCTGGATAGTGCCTTTAAATGGCTAATGTTAGGGAAGAAAACCAGACAGTTGTTTGATAAGTTCCAGCTAGATGTTCAAAAAGTCTAGGTCTGCTCTGCTCTGAGGTTCATGTCATTCTTTTGCATGAGGAACCTTGGTTGTGACACACTGCATCAAGGGTGGGCGGCCCTGATCCCACCCTAGTAGCAGGAAACCTTTGACCTTGTGTTTGTCATATATATGCTCATAGTTGGCACATGTTGTGGTTGTGGTGGTGCTGGGTTAGCATCTCTTGCTGCTTCTTGAAAAAGGGTACACAGTTCATAAAGCAACACCTTGGCATGCAAATGACAAAGAGCACATGCTTTTGGTGCTCAAAGGCTTAAACAGGCTTGTCTCCCTGGGATTTTGGTGTGCATTTCGCTTGATTCCTGCATCACCTCTCACTAAAGGGAGCCTTTGTCTAGGGCAGAGAAAGTGGTACCACTGTTTTCTTAGGTCATGTTTCTTCTGGCAGGAAGCATCTGACCTTAGCTCCCAGTGTGTCTTGTAGCCGCTGCCATAGTCAACATTCCATTCCTTAATTTGTCCCAGACTTCCAATTTTCGTTCCTAAGTCCTGTCGGTGGCAGGAAATGGAGATGACTGGGTCGTGTGCAGTCACAGCAGAGGCTCCCTTGCCCGTGAGGTCAGTGTTCCCCAACATCACATCTTCGGACTTTGTGTTCACAGACAGCGACCTCAGGTGGAGCTTCCGTTTGAGGAGAATGAGCAGAGAGCTCTGCTGCTGAAGAAGTGGGCACTGTACAAGCAGCAAGAGCATGAGACGGAGAGGGACGCCATCAGGGCCATGCTGGAGGCCCAGCAGAAAGCTCTGCAGGAGCTGAAACTCGAGGCCCCAGAGCTCTATGCTGAGGCCATCAAGCGGGACCTCAGACTGTTCCCCTTTGAGAAGGAAGGGCCACATTACACACCACCAGTCTCTGACTATCAGCCCCCTGAAGGCAGGTACAATGACATCACCAAGGTGTACACACAGGTAGAATTCAAGAGATAGAAGTCTGCTATTCTCAGAACACACTGCCCTCCAGTAGTCCGAATGGCCAGAGCCGAAGCCTGCTTTCCGAAAGATCAGACATGCTGGTAATAAATAAATGTTTAATCAAAAGTGTCTCTGTCTTGTGTTACAATCCAAAGTAAATCATGGGGCTGGGGATTTATTTAGCTCAGTGGTTCCACTGCCTGCTTCGCAAGGGTAAGGTCCCAAGTTCAGTCCCCAGTACCAAAAAAAAAAAAAGTAAATCATGGGTGGATGGATGGATGCAGGTGAGAGATGGTGTCCATCTGCCAACTACTGGGAAAAGGATGACAAAGACATCAACGCCTACCCTCCACAAGGGGAAAAATAGTGGCAAAAGGGAGATTTCAATTGTGTAGTAAAAATACCACTTGTGGGAGGCACAGAGTAACTCAAAGAAGTGAAGGATGTATAGGATTTTTGTGAGCTGGGAAAGTGTGTCAAGATCAACGGGGTCTTCCACGTGGGACAGAAGGAAGAGCTACCTTTGGACTTAACCTGGGCAGGGGAGCTGCAGAGTACACAGAGTACAGAAGAAGCCAAGGACACATTATTTAAGGCTCCTCTGTCCACCAGGGGGCTGAGGCAGAAGGCTCTGTTTATTACTTGTACTAGTCTAGAGTAGTGAATGTATTAGTATGCTCAGGCTGCCATAACAAAATATCACAAACTGGGTGATGGAGGTGGGGACTGAACCCAGGGTCTCATGCATGCTAGGTAAAACATGGGGTATAACTGTACCACTGAGTTATCCCCAACCCCTAATAACCTAACTTCATATTTAAATGTTTCCCTGGCTTATTTGCACTAACAGTTTAGAAATCAAAATCTGTCTGAGGTTGTGATACTATAAGCCACCAAAAAATGGGCACAGCTCTTACACTGACCCTTTACTGTTTGGGCAGCATTATCCCAACCAAAATTATGGGCCGCCGGCCTTGCAAGCATAAGGACCCAAGTTCGATTCCCAGTATGACCCCGCCACCAAAAAAAAAAAAAAAAAAAAAAAACCCAACCAAAATTATGTTGAAGTGCTTAACCCCAGTATTTCAGAATATAGTATTTCAGAAGTAGGGTCCTTAAAGAGGAAATTAAGTCAAATAAGGTCATTAGGGTGGAACCTATGCCAATGTGGTGGGTACCCCAAGAGACTAAGACTGAGGACAGCCGTACGAAGACATGGAGAAGGCAGCTATCTGCAAACCAGGCAGAGAGGCCTGAGGAGTTCTAGAAAACAAACCCGGAGTAAATAAATTTCTAGGTTGTAAGCTACCCAGTTTGTGATATTTTGTTATGGCAGCCTGAGCAGACTTTGCTTTCCTCTTTTCTTCTTTCAGCACTGAGGATTGAACACTGGGCCTTGCATGTTTGGCAAGTGCTCCACTACTGAGCTGCATCTCCAGCCTCACTTGTATTCATTGCTGTTTAATGTCTGTCATTCCCCTAAGCTACAACAGAATCTCTCTGAAAGTAAATTGTGTTTTAAGACTGTGACATTGGCTGGCAACATAGATCAGTGGTAGAGCCTAGCTCTTGTTTGAGGTCCTGGAAGTAGACATGTGAGGGAGGCAGGAAAATTTCATTCAGAGAAATTATGTATTGATGGTGGAACTTGTTCTGTTTTTTTGTTTGTTTGGTTTGGTTTTGGGTACCAGGGATCGAACTCAGGTCCTTGTGCTTGTGAGGCAGGTGCTGGAACCACTGAGCTAAATCCCTGGCCCCTTGTTCTGTAGCAAAGGAAAGCAAAATTCAACAGTGATTTCCCTGCAGAGGAAAGACCTGAATGCTCAGATACAAAAGAGCAAGAGGCACTTCTTAGCAATGTGTGCAGCTTTCATACAGCTCTGCCAGCAGGTGACTAGACACGGCTGCAGGGAGGGAGCCTCTCATGGACTGGTATGGGGTGGCTCCCTCAGACTTTACTTGCATGTCCTAGTGTCATTCCGCACCCCCCACCGCGCCCTCCAACTCCAGGGAGCTGGTATCGTTCCAGGCATCACGACCAGACTGCAAAACTCAGATGTTCTCTCCTGTGTTTTACAGGTGAGAAAAACTCTTATACATCTTTAGCATACTTCGCTTTCCTCATTGGCTGGAAATGCTCATTATTAACCAGTCACAGCAGCCTGAAGACTCACTGCTTAGTTTAGAAACATCAAGGATAAACCGTTGGATGGAGAAATCTTGACTCTTCTTTATACTTTCCTCTGTTCTTGAGATCCCATGAACTTATAACCCCTATTATTCATAGAAGCACAGGAGAGATCTTTTGCCCCAAAAGAACAAACTAAAAGATATTCACTCCACTGCCTGTGGCCAAGAAAGCAGCAGGGCGGGTGGTGGGTATGCAAGGGTTGGCTTTCAGCATCATGCTTAATTCCTGCTCTGCAGCCACATGATGCTGTCTTGTTAGTGATAAGAGACCCCTATAGGAACTCGTAGTCTTGGTAGTTCCTATACATATATTTTAAAAACACCTGAATGGAATAAATATAAAAATATAATACTATTCTGAACATGAGATTGTTAGGTATGAGGTCTAACAAATGTGGATTCAATTTCCAACTTTTATTTGAAATCAAATGTGAATTTTTTTTTTTTTTTGTACCAGGAATTGAACTCGGGTCCTTGTGCTTGCAAGGCGGGCAGCAGAACCACAAAGCTAAATCCCTGGCCCTGAAATGGTTTTTGATACATTACCAGGGGAAAAATCTGAGGGAGGGAGACCAAATCCCATGTTCTTCAGTCTTGGTTTTCTTTGCTGAGGATGGAAGCCATGACCTCACATAAGGCAAGCAAGCTCTCCACCACTGAGCCACAATTCTAGCCCTTTAGGCTTGGATTTTTTCTTTTTATTAGTACATGTTTCAGCACACAGCAATTACACTCATCATTGAACATTGTGAACATATACATAACTCACTTTAAGTTTTACTTCCCTCCCGCCGCCCTTCCTTCCTCCTTCCATTTCTTTATGGGCTTGGATTTCTTCCTTTCTTTTTTTCCCCAGTATCAGAGAGCGAACTCAGGAACTTGTGCTTAACAGGCAGGCGTGGTGCCCCTGAGGTAAATCCCCTGGCCCTGGGCTTGGATTTCCCCCAAGACTCCACAGAATCTTGTAAATCTGTACGTGCTTTTTGGTTTTGTTTTCTGCAGTATTGGGGAAAGAACCCAGGACCTTCACACCAACCTACATCCCCAGGCCTTTTAAAATTTTGAGACAGGGTCTCACTAAATTGCTAATTTGGCCAGGCTGGGACTGAATTTGTCATCCTCCTACCTCAGCCTCCCAAAATGCTGTGATTATAGGCATGTGCTACCATGCTCAGCCAGCTTGTGTGTTTTTTAAAAACTGGAGTCTCACCAGGCAAGGTGGCACATGCCTGTGATTCTAGAATTTGGGAGGCTGAGGCAGTAAGGTTGTGAGTTTGAAGCCAATGTGGCTACACAGTGAGTTCCAGGCTGACCTGGAATATACAGCTAGACACTGTCAAAGAATCAAACAAAAAAACAAGAACAAAAAACCCCAGAGTCTCTGAATGCCTCACTGGGAGCCTTTAGTGAAGTGTGCTGGTGCAGAGGGGTAGTGAGGCCTGTCTGCTTGGCATTACTCCATCTACCTCTGCAGTGAAACGGAGCAGAGTGTGAGCTCCCTACTTGGATGCCAGGGGCTGGCAATATTTGGTAGTCACCAAGCCTGGGATGTGGTAACTTGTTTCCCAAGGATAGGAAGAGGTGTTCACAGTAGCACAACTCTTACCACCTCGTTCTAACCCAGTCACGTGTCCCTGCAGGTCGGATCCACCACTCAAGAATATATCTGAGAATCTACCCGTCAAGACTACCACCTGTGGTGCTCTCGTTGGGGTTGAAAGGTCTGAGCCAGCCTGCCCTGGCTGTTCATGGGTACCTTCCACAGCACTTGGTTTCCTGGAAGCTGTGGAGTGGCCTCAATTGTCTCTCAGAGACTTGTGGTGGCAGCAGCATTCCCCGATGCAGGTGAGGGATGGGCGGTGGAGCTGGAGATGTCCTGCTCTATGTTTCAGGCAGGAGCTCACAGGGACGCACTAGAGTGTTTGGGACGGTTATAGCCCCACTTGAAGCAGACTTGAGGAAGCCACACGGGCCAAGGGCAGGGGTGCTTGTCATGTGTCCTTCTCTTGTGGTAGAGGGAGGTGCCAGTCTGCAGGGGGACTCTGCCTCAGGGCCCACACCAGGGTGTGCTTCCGTGCAGCTTGCACACGCGCCTGCTCGCTCTCACACAGGGATCGCTGTGCAAATGAAATTCTGGTTACTTTCTGCCTCACAGCTTGATCCCAGGGCCCCCAGCGTCCCTCTTCCTCAGTACTTCCAGAACAGAGATGGCCCAACAGGTACACAGTGCTCCACACCTCAGCTGCTTCTACTTAATATACCTTGAGGATTGTTCATATTAGCACAAAGAACTAGGTTATACTTTCTCACATGCTAGTGTGAAAAACTACTGTGTAGATCAATATAATTTTAGAAATTTTACAACATCTCCTTAGGGGGCTGGGGATTTACTCAGTGGTGCCACCGCCTGCTTTGCAAGCGCGAGGTCCCGCATTTGATCCCCAGTACCAAGAGAAAACAAAACAAAAAAAACATCTCCTTAGGACCCGATGGCTTTAGCTGGCCTGGTGAGTCTAGATTAGGCTCACCTGCCAAGTGTAGGGCTGGGGTGCTGAGTAAGGGTGACGGCAGTATGAATGCGCAGCCGTGGGGACAAACAAGAGCCTAGACTACCGAGTGCGGCTGTGTGCAACAGGTGCTCCTCGGTTTACCAGCTTCTCTGAGCCACCGACGCCAAAACAGACACAACACAGTGTATTATGATAAGGTGACCTTGGTGTCAGTTGCTATGTGGGCTTTTTCACATACATACATAATTTTGTTTACTTGCCTCCCCGCTCCATCATCTAGTCCTGGGGATAGAACCCAGGATCTTCACTGTGAGCTGCATCCTCAGTGTTTTTTTTTTTTTTAATTTTTAAAATTTTCATCAGGGTCTTGCAAAGTTGTTCAGGTTGGCTTTGAACGTGCAGTGATCCTCCTTTCTCAGCTTCCCAGAGTGTTGGAATTACAGAAGTGCACTGCCATGGCTACCAATTGTCTACTTCTTTTTTTTTTTTTTTTTGTCAGTACTGGAGTTGGAACTCAGGACCTCAAGCATACTAGGCAGATGCTCTATCACTGAGCTATATCATAGTCATGTCTACTTATCTTTGTTTAGGCTTTTTCTTTTTTTTTTTTTGTATCAGGGATCAAACTCAGAACCTTGTGTTTACGTGGCAGGCACAGTGCCACTGAGCTAAATCCCCAGCCTTTTTGTTTGTTTTTTGAGACAGGGTCTTGCTATGTAGTTGAGGCTGGCCTTGAACTCATTATGTAGCCCAGGCTGATGAACTTGTAGTGATCCTCCTGCTTCAGCCTCCTAAGTGCTGGGGGTTACAGGCATGTGCCACCATGCCTTGCTCAAATAAAAATTTTTTGGGAAAAAAGAAAGGTATAAAAAGAATTAGGAGGCCAGGGATTTAGCTCAGTGCTTCTGCCACCTGCCTTGCAAGCACAAGGACCCGAGTTCGATCCCCAGTACCAAAAAAAACAACAACAAAAGAATTAGGATGTGTTGTATACATGTACTAACTCCCCACAATGAATGTAATCATTGTGTACTGTAAACATCTGATAAAAATAAACTATTTTTGTGGTGCTAGGGATCAGAAACTAGGCCCCTGTTCATGCTACATAAGCACTCTACGACTGAGTTACATCCCAGCCCCTTAAGTAAAATGTTTTTACTTAAAGAGCAATCAAAATTGTAATCCCAGAACTCAGGGGGCAGAGGCAGGAGTATTGTGGCAAGTTCCAGGCCAGTCTGGGATACATAGTGAGTTCAAGGTCAGCCTGAACTAGTGAGACTGTCTCGAAAAAAGAGACATTAAATAAATAAAATGTAAACAATCAAGGCAGATGTTGTGGTGCACACTTGTAATCTCAGCAGTTGGGAGTCTCAGTGACATTTAGATCATTTTCACTTTTTGTACTATCATAAGTACTGACACAACGAACATTTTTCAACTTTGACTTGTGCACAGTTATCTAATCACTTAGGTAAAATAAACTTCCAGAAGTAAGACTTCAGGTTAAAAAGGTGTGCATTGGATCTGTAGGTAATTGGAACACTGGACAATCTCACCAACACTGAATGAGTGCCCTGCATTCTACAAACCCCTGTCAACACTTCTGAGTTTCCAAATGGCCAAAATCACTCTGATGGTCATTTTAATTTGGACACTTAGCCATTTGGTTGTCTTCATTAATTAATTGCTTCTTTGTACCTTTTGCCTATTTTTCTATTTAAAAATCATCTCCAGTTTTTGTATTGATATATAAAAGCCAACACAGAAATTAACAGATTAACACAGATATTAAGGGTATCAATCTCTTGTCATACATCTGCAAGCTTTCTCCCATAGTTGTATGTATGTATGTTTATACTTACATATTTATTTATTTGTTGTACTGAACTCAAAGCCTTCACACTGAACTTCATTGCCAGTCCTTTATGTTTTAATTTTTTTGGTACTGGAGATTGAACTCAGGACTTTGTGCTTGTGAGACAGGTGGCGGCACGACTGGGCTAAATCTCCTGCTCAGTCCTTTTATTTTTATTTTCAGCCAGTGTCTCCCTAAACTAAGTCATTTATTGTCTAGGACGGGCTTGAACCTGCCATCCTGCCTCATTCCCAAAGCGCTGGGATCACATATGTGCACTGTCTTATCCAGCTTTTTGTGTGTGCGTGTGTGGTGGGGATTGAAGCTAGGGTCTAGCTTATGCTAGCATACACTACCATATCTCTACCCATGACATATCCCCATATTTTTAATTCTTATTATGAACTTGTCATTATTTTCTTATATTCAGTAGCTTTTTTTCACATTGGTTGGTCTGTTTCAGAATAATCACATACATAGCTAGGCATGGTGGCAAATCCTTGTAATCTCAACAAGCTGAGAGGGAGGCTGAGGCAGGAGGATTGCTGAGTTTGAGACCAGCCTGGGCTACATACTGTAGTTAAGTTCAATGCTATCCTGAACTACATAGTGAGATCCTGTCTCAAACAAATCAAAACAGAATACTCACATACATGTGACAATGCTGATGCACCAGGCTGGTCCTGTTGGCTCTCTTTCCTTGTTTCCTGGCACTCTCCAGGAGCCGTGCACCCTGACATTTTTTTTCTCTCCATCTCCCCTTCTCTTTTCCCACAACAGGTACCACAGTATTCTGTATTAGGGTGCTCTATACTAGAACTCCACACTAGAGTTTCAGGAGAGCAGGGCCTCCAGTCTCATCACGCTTGTATCTCCAAGAGCATGATAAACACCTGCTGGATTAAGGGACCACCCTCTTACTGGTTTCTCTGCCCCTTTATAATATACTGTCCACACATATAAAGATATAAATCAAATTATACTTCTCAGCATACTTTTAGGCCAAACGTTAGACTCTTTACTCTACCATCAAGACTCCTCAGGTCCCTGGTACCTCTCCACTCTCATTCCCTATGCTCTACGGCCAGTCGTGTATATCACCGGGGCTTCGTCGAGGCTGTGAAGGCTGGCTCCTAGTCTTTCAGGACCGGCAATATCATATTCTCTAAAGGCCATCTGAAATGAAGACCGGCAGTACTGGAACGCTGGCCCTCCATCTCTCCTTGCTGTTTCCCTCTTTGTCTTTAAAACCATTTCAAAGTCGCATGGATATACTAATTTCTCAAAAGAAGGGAAGCAAAAAGAGGGGAGGATCCTGGTACACCTGCGTTTCCCCAACCTTCCTTGCGGCGCACCTGGGCTTCAGCGGTCCGGCGCTCTTCCCAGTCGCGGCAGCTGGCCAGGTCGCGTAGCCACTGCTCGCAAGCCGGCCGCTTGCCGTGTACGTAGTAGTGGTGCAGGAAGTGCCTGGCGCTGCGGCAGAGCTTCCACTCGGCGCGGTAGGTCTCGCAAGGCCGCGGCGGCTGTGGCGAAAGGCGATGTCTGAGCGGGCCCGGTGCCGCACCCACACCCCTGGTTCCGTCCCACCCCCATCCCCGGGGGGAACCAGTTAACCTCGATCTTCTTGGATAACCACAGTAAACTACTGTCAACCACACTCACCCGCCATTCGCCACTGTCTGCCATGTTAAGAATACCACCAAACCCCGCCTCCCTGCTCCACCAGCCAATGAAAACTGAAGAAAGCTAGCTCTGTGACTGACAGACACAGAAACCAATGAACTCCGAGATACTGCAACTAAATCTCACTTCCTCCAGAAGCGCCAATAAACAGGACCCAGGTCTGAACAGAGCTGCTAATAACAGCTAAAGAAGGTGCCACGCATGGAGGGGAGGGGCGCCCGTGGCTTGTTCCCACACTCTTAAGGGCCTGGAGCTGGGCTGCGGAGTTAGGCTTTTAACTGTCTCTGAAGCCCTACGGTTCAGATTACTTCTTTCTAGCAGCTTTTGTTATTTATTTTCCAAATCTCGGTGATCTGGTTCATTGTAAGCTCATACTGAGGATCGAGGCAGTGAACCTTCCAGGTACACAGCTACAGTAGTCTCGCTTAAGTATCCTCTCAGTGCAGCGGCGAACTCACAAAGTACCTGGGGTTGGTTGGGCGTGATGTGTGTGCTGGGGACCGGTGAGTGGGCGAGGGCGCTGTGAGAGCTCCCAAGAAATCTAGGCCGGAAGTGGAAGCTGAGAAGTGTTCCTAGCAGAAGCCACAGAAGTAAAGACAGCTGGTGGGCCTGCAGAAAAGGCCTTTGCAATACTTGTGTAATGGTCTCCCGAATAGAATCAAGTCATCTTTGGGAAGTGTGTGTGTGTGGGGGTCTTACAAAGCAGTTGCTGGACCTCTCCTAGCAACAAGTCAGTTCGACTCCCTGAAGTTGGGAGAGAAAACTGCAATTTCACCAGGATCCTTGGTGTTGAGGTAGCTGGCTCACTCACCAAGTTTGGAGAAAACTCTAAATGGATGCTGCAGGTTAGTCATGTAGCAGTTAACAACCAGGGTGAATGCTTCAGGCGACTGCACTGTCATTAGAAGGCCACAGCTGCTACCAGAATGCCCAACAATAGACATCTCTGTCCAGAGAGTATGTCTCTAGCAAAGGACTAAGGAGTTTCAGTGCACACACAGGTGTGGCTTAGGGAAGACAAAAACCAAGGGCCAAAGCCTACAGTAACTTATGACTAAAATGCTAATTTTTTTAAGGCAATGTGATCCTGCAAATAGAGGCTGCCTACCTGCCAAGATGGGTAATCTCTGGAAGTGAAATTGAAAGTAAGCAGAGGGACTTGCCCTTATCATGCCGCACCATCCCTCCCAAAATCACATCCATTGCCAGAGATGACTATTTGTGCTGTAAAGAGCCCTGAACATCATGACACTCACTGGCGGCCCTCACGAAGGACGTGGGGAGACCCTAGGGCTGCCAACCTGGAGAGGGCATCCTCTCCTCTCCTGAGGTTTTTTTTTTTTTTTTTTTTTTTTTTTTTTTGTATCAAGAATGGAACTCAGGGCCTTGTGCTTGCCAGGCAGGCGCTGTGCTGCTGAGCTACATCCCAGCTCTTCTAAATTTTGAAGAGCCCTGTCTAGAGTAGGACCCATCTGCCCACAACAGGTCAACTCCTAGTACATGGGAGACTTTCTGGGCCTAACTCTTCTTATTCTAGGGGATCAGGGAGTTCATTTGTTCCTGTGTTTTCCAGAAGTCCCAGGGGAGGAGTTTTCTAACCACATGATGGTACATGGAGCACTGCACGTAAGCTTTCCTCTAACATCTGGTCAGTGGCCCACCTGTCAGCATGTGTTAGTACCGAATGACAAAGTTAGAGGTGGTCTAAGCTTTATCATTGTTTTCACTTGAAAAAAAATTTTTTGGTACTAGGGATCAAACTCTGGACCTTGCTTTCATTTGCAAGGCAAGTGGGGGAACCACTGAGCTAAATCCCTGGCCCTTTACTTGAAATTCTTGATTTAGAATTATTCTCAAGGAAAAATATTTAAAATAACTAGTAGTATTCATAATACTCATTATAGAGAGTAAAGATCCGAGGCTAAATTAAAACTAATCAAAACACTGGAGCTGGGAGTGCAGCTTAGTGGTGGAACGCATGCTTAGTATTCACAGGGCCCTGGGTTAAATCCCAGAAAATGAAGGAATGAATGAACAAGTGAGACAGACAAGCCAGTAGAACCTTGGCAAATTTAATAAATTAAAACTAAAAATTGCAAAGTGGGAGGCAGGGAAGCAGAAAGATGTTCCTTTTAGCATTTATTCATTCTAACATTCACATCTGGCTTCATCATGGAGTTGTCTGGTTCTAGAATAAGTTCACTAGGGAGCCAGTTATTTCTATAGGATAGCAAAGTAAAAGTGTGAACTCAATTGGATCAGGTTTTCCTTTGGAGGGGTACTTCTGAAAACAATCAGTATGTAAAATAAAACAGAAACACCATTTCTCAAACACTTAAATAGCAGCCAGAGTAGTGAGATAGGTACTATTTATAAAGCACACATCTATTTAAACTCCTTTTTTTCTAGGCCAAAGACAATGCCACTGCCAATGACCTGGAAAAAAGGGAAAATGAAGAAAGAGAAAGAACAGCTTGAATGACATTAATTCAATCCCCTCCACTGGTTTGTTAGAAATTAAGGAACTCTGCTTCGCTGGGGCAGGAGTAAAGTCCTTGAGCGGAAAGAATGAAGTAGAAGAAGGTGGCCATAAACAGGACGTCAGAGATAACTTTCTGTTTCCCAAAATCAAGCACACAACCGTGTTCTACTGCTCCACTTCAAGGGCAAACTTGGTAATTCTCAGGTAACACTAAACAAATCTTTAAGTAACAGCATTCTCTTGATAATGGTCTCATCCTTGTCAGAGCCATTAACTAAAAGCCATTATGTTGCAATGGATTCCTTTATTTTCCATTCAGCCAACAGTCTAGACTTAAGAGTCTAGACTTAAGGCTTTCTTCCCTTTTTTCGCAGTGACTGTCCTTCTCCAGAGAAAGCAACAAATCGGCCTCCAGCTTCATCCTAGGTTTGAAAATAAGCTATTTTCAGAAACTGCCTGGAGGTTTACAATACATGCCTCATTCTGGGAACATGTATGACTCATCCATTGTCCTCCCACACTATGCATAATAAGAAATGCCTCTGAAATGTAAGTACAAATCGTAATTTATTGTGCTAAGACACAGATTCGTGGAATCAAAACTGAGTCTTCCACTGCCTGTTTTCAGGTTGAATAGACAAATGCCCTTTACTTCGGGAGGGGTTATGTCTGATAGACTCACCCTAAGTTGGTCATGTCATTAAGTGAAAAATGCATTTAATACACCCAACCTATCAAACACGGTAGCTTAGCAACACAGCATACCATCCAGCAATGGTTGTTTCCCCTTTTGACAGTGTGGCCGAGGGGGGAGTTGTGACTCAGTGTTGCTGTCTAGCAATGCACTGCGAATCACTAGTAAAGGAAAAGATCCAAGTTCCAAATTCCAAGTACAGATTCTGGTGAGTGTGCACTGCTTTCCCACTGTTATAATGTAAAAAACCCTAATATGATCCATAAGATGGGATCTTTTACAGAATAATTTTCAATATAAGAAATACAAAATGTATCCCTCAAAGAAAAGTCACTCATAACTTCATCACCCAAAAATAAATTTTCATTTACATTTCTGTAATGTTTATATAAATGGTTTTTTCACTTAATTTTGAAGTCTTAAGCCAATGAATTTATTGGCACACTACAGAGGCCGCAGAGTATTCTGTTATGTGGGAAAGCCAGTCTTCAGCCACTGGATGTCCCTGTTACTTCTAAATTTCCAGTACTATAAACTACTGGGTGAGCAGCTCCATGTGTTTGTACCCAGCTGATTTTTCCTCAAAGTAGAATTTCTAAGTAAAACGGTGCACATTAATCCCTTTAAGCTTTTAGTGATTTGTGGGTCATAGTACTGGGGATTGAACCCAGGGCCTTTGCAATAACATCCCCCCCAGCCCTTTTTATTTAAAAATTTTTTAATTTATTTAACTAATTTGGGAAAGCTCCTTATGTAGTCCAGGATGGCTTTGAACTCACTATGTAGCTCAGGTTGGTCTCAAACTCACAACCATCTTCTTGCCTCAGGCTTCTGAGTGCTGGAATTATAGGAGTGCGTCACCACACCTGCCTTATTACTGTTAGGAAATGGGGCTTGGCTGGAAGACATCTCTGTCCCTGAGGTTCCTTCCCTCTCTCTGCTTCCTGGCTGCCATGAGGTGAGCAGCTTTTCATCCATGTCCTTCTGCTATGCCATTTCTGCCTTGGAGCCTGTGGATTATGAACTGAGCCTGGAACCAAAATAAACCTTTCTTCCTTTAAGTTAAGTGGGCTGGGTATTTTGTCCGAGGGACAAGAAAGTGACTAATATATGGAGGCTTCAAGTCTGAGCCTGGCAAAAGCCATCCTGTAACTGGTGAAGTCCTAGTCAGGGTTTTACAGAGGTACCAGAGGGTGAGACCTGATTAGGGGACCATATATTTTTCTCTAAGCACGGAAGGTCCCCACCACTTGTGTCAATTTGAGGAATTTTTTTGGGGGGAGGCAGGGACTTGCTTTGTAGTTCTGGTTGGCCCTGAACTCACTATGTAGCCCACGCTGGCCTCACATTCACGGTGATCCTCTTGCCTCAGCCTCCTGAGTGCTGGGATTACACGTGTGCGGCACCACACCCAACAATTTGAGGACTACGAATGCCTGAAGCAGCTGTAAGTGGTGCCTGAGGATGCAGACAGCACTGAAGCCTCTATTCTTAACTACCTCGAATGCTAGAGAAGAGTTCAGTTGTCCGTAGGGCGAGTGGCCAGGGCCTGGTCCTGTCTGGCAGCTCACCTGGAAGAGGCTACAGCACATTTGCTTTCTGCCTGTTCCAAATGGGCTGCCAGAATACTCCTGGATCCCCAAGCATTCAATCCTTTAAGAAAAGGAACCAGAAACGTGGTGGGTCTGAAGTGTGGGTATTCTAGAAACATTCATCACACTCAGATGACTGTGTCTTAGCTTCAGTTGCAGAGTGTGCTGAATTTTATGACCAAGGCCAGCACCCTGGAATAAGTTCCCACAAAGTGGACACTTTCTTTCCTTAGTCAGCTTCTCCTCCTGCTCCTGTGAGAGGGGAGCGTGCCCAGGCAAAGGAGGCTCGCTGCTCAGATGTCTAACTGAAGGTCACTTCCAGAGTGTTGTGTCATGAAGTGGGATATACAGTGGTCAGGACTCTGCCCCTGGGTCCAGGAATCTTTACCTCTGGATCTTCACACATGCACTGTGCAATGCAGACAAATCAAAGCACCCTGCTCACAGGGCTGTTTCGATGACTGAAGTTGTTACACTTCAAACACTTAGCATGGTGCCTGCTACCTAGCAAGGCAAC